CCCGTTGTGAGAGTGGCCGCCAAAGTTGGCATCTTTTGCAATGCGGCACCCGGTCCCTCCACGATATTCCTCCCATCGGATGTTTGAATTTAAGATGGTGGAAATGGTCTTTTACTAGGGAGATTTGTCGGTGGTTAATTTCAATTATGTAGAGGCCTAAAGAGATGAAAGATTTTGCTCCTGTTTCAGTATACACAGGCACGTTTCATTTCGCTAATGTGATGAACTGTGACTCCTTGGAGGTAGCTCTGATGTTATGGCAGTCAAGTCTCGTTTCCCGAGGCCACGGATGACAAGGCGGGACGTTCTCCTCAGTTCGCACGGCGAGAAGAACTGCGCATGCCGTGAGAAGGCTTGCATACGCGTCAGTTCGGCGACAATTTTGCTGTGATCTTTCACGTAGCCTGTGTTGAGGGTGACGAAATTATTCGAGGGAATACCTCTTAGGGCATTGTGAGGCTGGGGGCGGAGTGCGCTCTGAGGCGGTGATGTCTATGGGTTGCTCAATTACTATTTCCCCGACAGATTCACGAGGGCGTGGAGCAGAGGCACGAGGGGCGGCCGCTGAAGACTGGGTGTTGATTTGCCGTAATTACTGCAGGTCGTTTTGTGGGGCAGTAACCTCTCGGGGCGTGAGCACTGGTACCTATTTGTTATGGCAACGCTTGGGTTTGAGGCAGTTCACATGTTTGGGAGGGGCGCGGTCCAAATATCTTTTTAACCATTGCCATGCCTCATCAGTAAGTGTTGTTGGAGTTGATCCAGCCATAGTGGAGAATTAACTATGGTCGAGGTTCTTCGTGGGAGCGTAGATCACAATTGGTCGAGCTTACCGATGGAGAAAGTGCTCGCGTGGCCTCGGCGGGCTGTCTCAGAAACGGACCATGGGCGCTGACTGGTTTGTGTCCTGTTGTGGGAGACAAGGACTGTTGGGCTCTCAGGTGCATGCACGCCAGCGGCGTGGAGCATTCCGGCGACTTACCGTCCGTTGATGCGTCCGTATTTGGTCGGAGGTGTAGCTGGAATTGACAGAAAAGAACTACTTTGTAGGGGTGGGGAGACAGATGTAGGAGTATTAGAGGATGAAATCTTCTTTCTACAGTTCGAAGGATATCTTGGGTTTCTTAATAATGCACGAATGTGCAAGGGTGCCGTCTAAGTGCTTGCAATGCACGGCAATAGTTCTTATTCTTTTCTTGATGATAGGTCGTCCAATTTTTGGCATGCAATTTTATGATGATGAGTTACGTCTGTACAGTGTTAGTTAGTGAGTTAGTTCTACCGTATTTAATTACAAATTTCGTATTTTTCAGATAACAGTGAGAGAAATAGTTTGAATTTTGAATTTTAACTTGATTACTTGTCAGAACTTCATTTAAGACTTACTAACTATTTATAATAATTTGTGACTTATTAATATTAATTATTTATACTAATTTGAATTTTGAATTTAAATTTTGATTTTAGTTACCAAGATAGAGTACTTGAATACTAACTGATAGTATAACGAATGAGATAGATGAAAGTAGATGAAATTACAAAATAATAAAATATAAGGTATAAGATGAATCAGTATAAATCAAAACCTAAATGAATATGTGCAAAAAGAATTCTGAGTGAGATAATGTTAGTGCCAGAAATTTTCCAGAAAATTTAGAAATTTAGAAATTTATAAATAAGAGTTCATTAGTGTTAGTTTAAACTAAACTTTTGGGTGCAAGGGAGCCGTGCTCGACCTTGCCCCACCTACTTGATGTCTGGTTTCTCTCGTAACAGCTAACCCGAAACCAGAATTCTTCAGCCGAATCAGCCTTCTTCGTTGCTATTTGCGTAGAGGGAGCCTAGCTCAACCTCTACACTTGATTAGTAATTACCTTATGGCGCAGAGCGAGCCAAGCTCGACCTCTGACCTCACGCCTCGATAGATACGCTGAGGGAGCCTAGCTCTACCTCAACGATCCCCAAGTTGTCAAACAGCACTGTGGCGCTGAGGGAGCCGGGCTCGACCTTAACGCACACTAATTTCAAAAGCCGCAACACTGGTGACACTGAGGGAGCAGGGCTCAACCTCAATGCACTCCAAGTTTTAAACACGACACTAGTTAAGTTGAGGGAGCCGAGCTCGACCTCAACTAACAGATTACTTCACTACGAAGAACGAGCAGAGCTCTTCCCTAACACGCGACGCGAACCAATATGATATATGTTGTTGATGCGGATTGGCCAAAGCGCTCGTGTTTCACATAAGACACGGTGTTTTTCTACTACGTTCGTCAACACAACGCTCGTGTGCATAGATCCTAAATATGTGGATTTAGTGCTCTAAAAGAAAAATAAGATTTAGTGCACAGATACAACACTCAATAGCACACAACTATCGTGCCTAACTCGGAAACGTTCCTTTTTAGAGCCTTAAAAGCAGATTTCCATGTTCCTTAGGGGCACTATTATGCCCTACTCTACAAAAAATCTATTTTCAGACGTTTTATTCCAAGCTTAGCGTTTAAAAGAAATATACTCATCTCCGTATTTGCACTTGTGATAAGTGCATACATACTTGAAAAGCACATTAATAGAAATAGAATTAATAATTATAATAATAATTTTAGCACGGGTATTACATTAGTTATTACAAAAATTTGTTGTGGTGACTTTTTTCACTGAACATAACATTACACAAAAACATAGGTGCAATGAAGACTTCTAAAGGACTTTGTTGACGGTTGAATTCACGAGACCCGTTTCTGATGCATATCTCAGCCATGCGGGAGGAGAAAGAAGCCCCATGACCCATCAGTTGGTGCGCCATTGGTGTTAATTCAAAATAACGTGCTACAATAACACCAAAAAAACAGTTATTTTAAAAAACAGATCTTAAGCGTTCAAAATAATTCTTTTAAAACTTTAAATTATTGTTCAAGATTGGAAAGTAGGACTAGTAAAAACTTCAATATCCTTTCACTTTCACAAATGTGCCATATTTTCGTACGGGTCGAACTAGTCAGTAAATAATTATTCTTCTAAACGCTATCTGGTCCCGCACCTAACGGCCAGGCACTTTTCGTAGATTGACCTATATGAAGTAGCCATCTTTAGGAATTGTAATATAAACAAACGGTTAAGTGGTAGAGATCAGTGTGGATTCAGCATCATCCTGAGACGGGACGAAATGTCAGATACCTTCAACAAGTGAAATCGAGTCGCTTATATGTAGGGGGATACCAGATTTGTTTGGGGCGACAACTGCATTTAATATATATCTTTACGAAATAACAAACGCGCTTGGCGGAAACTTCGCTTCGCGCATTCCACAGCATTCGTGTGAAGTTTGCTCTGTGGCCACTGGCGTAGATCTATTCCAATATGTGCTTCATTTTAAACAAATGCTGAAGAGAAATCCTTAAAATACGAAAATATGGCTGTTTCCATCCATATGTTTTTATTTCCATGTTGACAATCTGAAAAACGCTTCATCTTTATTGACAAAGTGTGTGCGTGCGTCTCCGTTACTCATGGTTAGACCACTTCTCGTCCACCAATGTAGCTACGAGGGTATCATTCATCGTGGTCTCGTGGCGGGTAACTGGTAATTTGCGTACAGATCCGGCCAAAAGAATCAAAGAAATTTCCAAAAAAGTGTTTTGCTTGTTTTGTCGTTGCGATCTTAGTGACTATGCGGGGAATTAAACCGAAGTCACCTAAATAGATCAAGGTAGATGGCGTAGATTAAACCCTAGAACCCAGAGGCATAATCGCTCCACGACGCCATAATTTTCTTTCACGAAGGTGGCAACGCTGATTATTGCCATTTTAAAAATTATCAAGTGAATCGCACGGCACATTTCATTTACCAGATTTCTGTAAGCGTATTACCGTATTTTTAAAAATAAATTTGCAAAAATCTACGAACAGCATTGCCTTGGAACATATTAAATTTAAAGAATTACAAAAGCGAAGAGAGCAAAACTGGGAATAATGCTAGAGAATAAATAGACGTTCTTAAGTTCGATTTCCACGTTTACGTTCTTAATGTAATCGGTATTCAAATATCATTTTCAAATTGTGACTTACAAATTATTTTTATTAAGCTTAACTAACACCGTATTCACATAAACATATACACATAACAGTCACATTTTAATGCTTATATAGATTCACCTACAAAACGATTAATGGAGCAATTACAGAAGTAGAAGTGAACACAAATTAGACTAAATTTGCGAGGTTTGAATCTCTTCAAAAATTAGGAAACCAAAATATGGAAGTGTTAATCCAATCTAGGAAGAATCTAGATTTAGATTTATTTAGTCCAAAAAAACAGTGAAAACTGTATGTGACGTATGGGGGAGATCTGCCCACGTTTTCTTGAGTTCCAGAATCCCCTCCCATCATTTTAACTATAAATAGGTGAAAGATGAGTAAAAGTTTAAAATAAATTTTAAAAAGATTAGCATTATTTGAAAAAAACTAGACCTTTTCGTTCCCGAGTTATTGAAAACTTATTTGCATCAGTAAACGAATTGCAGGTATGATTTTTCTGCATTGCTAACAAAATAGTAACTCGCCTTTACCTCTACTCCTACCATTACAAGCAAAAGGAAAGTTCAACAAAACGTGCGGATAATGAAGCTTCATTTACGTCCAGATGCAAAACAAGGGGCCATCTCAGCATTTGCTCAATGGATCAGGGAAAATGGACAAAACCCTGATAGAGATGGGGGTTATTGACCCGGAAGCTGAAGTACAAAATATGAAAAACGAGCGTATGTAAATCGTTTATAATGTTGTTTTTTTGAATTTATACAAATTTAAAAAGTTGCTCCTAACATCTCTCGTTTTCAAAATATGTACTAATGCAATAAAGCATTTTGGGGGATTTCTCTTATTTTTCTACCCGTGGACCGCGCTTGATTATAAACTAATTGCATTAACTCATGCTACAATTTTTACTGCACTGCAAATTAACTACAGTCGTACGATAGATTCAAGATGGTGGTTGCAAATCTATGTTTATCTACATGAAGTCTTCGTGTCTGCGTTTTTAACGATCTTGTGAAGCTTTTGGGATGTGCAGAGACATACCTACTATTTGAATTTGCCAACATTCTGGATCACTGCAAATGGTGGATTACGGCTGTCGAAATAGGATGGAAAGGAAATTTCTAATTGTGACAAATGAATATTTAATGCTTTCATTCAATTTTAATCGTTGAAAAGAACGGCTAATGACGACAATGCGATTAAGATAGCGATAATTGACTCAGAATATTGTAACATCTGTGCACCAATCAACCGGCGTCAACGGGTGCAGCACGGAGTAAACAAGTTAAGGAATAATTTAGCAGGGAGAGAGCAGGGAGGTGGTGAATATACGTGATATGGTATTACAGATTATTTCTGCGGCAGATTGTCAAGTGTGTATTTGTTATGGTTTTGTGTAGAAGGAATATGTATACATTTCTTGTGATATGTGACATTAGTTAATTGGGATTGCTATAGTCTTGTGCTAACAATAATGCGATCGATTCATAGACGTCTGCTGGTTGGAAATTTTTGAAAACGCAAAATTTAATAACTGCAGCATTGTTTTCTTATCTCTATTTGTATGCTCTACTTGCAGTATTCTTCCGGTATTTTTCGGAAGTGGTTATTCTTGATGATACGATTTATCTTATTCGTAATATTAGACTGTTATTTAATCATACCTCTTATTTGTTTTACAGGTGAAAAATGTCGTTCAAGAAAATAGTTCTGAAAAGCACGACAGTGATGTCGCTTAATGAACGGTGAGAAAGCCATCTATTGTGGAAAATTTCCATTTAAATTATATGCATTATGTATAATTATGTTGGTGTAAGTGATGATGCAACAAGTTTAAGATATCTGCAGCTCTAGGCTGTATTTAACTGGGATGTGGCCAATTAATAATTATTGCAAAATGATTTCTTCATTTTCACTTATTTCGTTAAATCAAGATTTTTAAGTATTGATCAAATAGTTATGCCAGACAGGAGACATTGATTACATTTTGTTCTGGATTTACTTGGCTTTTGTTAATTTGTAATTTAATCCAATTTCTCAAGCCCCTTCAACCTTAAAATTTTGGTTGTCAACTTCGTTATCTCATGGCCAAAAAGTCCCAATTTGCTAGTCATAGTTAATATGTTTGTGGTTGCCAAATCTCTCTGACATGACATAGTTCTTTCATTGAGGCCTAGAATTTGTTCTTCTAACTTTCAGGTAAAAAGTTTGAGTTAAATTGCGATTGAAAATTAGCCAAACTTAATTTAACGTTGTGTACATACTTGTGTGGTGTCAACTTTCCATACTTCACATTGAGATTTCTGGAATTTATGAATGAACTTATCATCAAGATTTTTTAAGAAATTTGTTTATTACAGCTCTAAGTAAAGAGATGTGTGAATTCTTACTTTCATCTAGATTGAAATAATTAATGTAGGCAATGTTTGGAAGAAAATATGAACGAAATTAATTTTGAAAATAAAGTCATTTGATATGTATGCCTTGCCTGCTAGTGTGCTTTCACATCAGATTTTTTGTGCAGAGGAAAAAGTGGGTCATTCATTACTACAGTTCCATCAGTTTATGAGTGTCTGACGGTTCCCTCATCTCATACTGTTCTACATCATATGATCAGCTTTGAAGCAATATGTATAAGGATATGTGCATGTTGCCTCGGCTACAGATCAGCAGTGCAGGTCATTTGACTTTCAATGTCTCTTGAGACACACAAATTTCATCAGTAGATTCAATTCAAATAAAATGTCTCTTGCCAATGCTTGTCATGCCAGTTTATTCAATGTTTGGCTGCAACAAAAGCTGTGAAAGGGATCTCAAGATAGGTCATCCTCTGATGATAGGGTTAATGAGAGATTTCAATTATTTGCTGTGCACAGTAATCATGCAACACGTTGTTGAAGTGTCAGACATGGACAATTGTTGATGTAGGTAGAAAATTTCAAATTAAAATTGAACAAAGGGTAATTATATAAAATATCTATAAGATATGATTGGTTTTCTACTTTACAAGTAGGAGACCTTCTATTACAGTCAACAAGAGCAAATTGACAGGCACATGGCATGCATAATTTAATGTCTTGATTATAAAAAATATTAGTTTTCTTGTATAAGATCTTTGATATTTGGTGATACTAGTCTTGTAGGTTTTTGCTATAATTCTTATGTAATGTAGAATAGTATTGTTGATATTTTTAGTAATATTGTTTTCTATTTGTTTTGTAACAAACATCTCAACCAGATCAGGAAATGTTGCTGAATCACTAAGTAAAAATTGCATGATCTTTGGCACTCGTATTGATTTACTTATGTGCAACATAATTTACTGTTTTTGTATGTGTACTATTTTTCTTTTGTATTTTCATGAATCCCTGAATGCATTTAGAAATGTTGAAAAAAGGAATGAGAGGAAATAAAATATTACAGTACCAAGACTCTCAGTCCTATTAAATAAAACACAATGGAAATTTTTTCCCCTTGTAGTTAAAAAGCAATCTCTTTATAAGTTTATCATGTTTGTTTAGCATATTGGTTTCTTCAATAGGAAATTTATGCAAATTGTGAAGTTTTCATGAAATATATATTTACATTATTATTGATAACAATGCAAAGTTTCATCTCTGAAGTATGAAAAGTGGGTATTTACTTTGTTTTGTGAAATATGTATAAATTTTCCCCCTGTATAGTGGTTTAATGCATCCGTTACAAATAAAATTTCTGTTCTAAATGACAATTGAAAAATATCACATTGAAGTGTATGTACAAGTGCAGTTACTACCTAACTCCATTCATTTAGTAATATTGAAATTACTTAACTAAGCAAGCTCAAAAAAAATTACCATTGAAGAATAATGTAGTGTTTCAGATTTTACAAGTTCAAGCTGCATAGCTGCATAATACATATTCTGTCTGCAGTGTGCATGAAACATGAAAATTAGAAGATTTACTGCTTCTTTGAAACGTGCATTAATTTTCTTCTGTCATCAGCCTTATACATGTGTTTAGGTACCAGTGAAACAGATGTTGCTCTTGATGGAACATTGGATTTCTCTACACATTTGAAAATAAATAAAGCACATCTAATCTCCAATTTTTGAAATTCAAGATACCAGCACCATGATGGTGGTAGGGCATACACTTCTAGAATGCACGGTTGAGTCTTGGCAACTTCTTAATGAGAAAATGCAAACCTGAGTTTTGGCATTGTAAGTTGTGATTTGTGCCCTTGTATTTGTGCTTGTTTCCTGTATACCCATGGCCCTGTAGAGCTGGAGCATGAGCCAGGGAGGCCTGGTTTTCTGCTCAATTGTTTGTGTATACATTCTGGAAGGAAAACTGCTTCCTGGGCATCTTGGTCTAAGAGATGGATATATTGCAACAGAATTGGAGGAATAACCAGAATTCCTATAAAGTATTATATAATTGTAAACAGTGAAATCACTGAGGTGCATATTCTGCCTGCTAAACAGGCTAGTAAGTAGCACATAATATACATGCATGTTATGCCAGCAACCGTGCAAAGCCCAAACTCAGAACACATGTGAGAGGTAGAAAGATGACCACTACATACAGCTGTGCGGGAGTTTTACAGTGGCATTTTCAAAGAGAAATAAAAATGGAGAATTGGTATTCACTTGCCCTGTACTTGACTCATCTGCATTATGGAAGGCCAGCAGATGTAGTGAATAGAACAGCTGGTCCTATTACAGAACATGCAATAAGTACCACTTTTAGGTATAAAAGAAAGATTCGCCAAGTTGAATTTAAATTTGTAGAAATGGAATAAAAATGGAAATAATGGGCACTATTAGTATATCTGGAGTTGTTCATTTCTTGTCATAAATATACATGGAACAAAAATAAAAGCACTACAGCAGCTAACCAGACAGTGGTCATTTGTTACTGGCACAGTTTCACATACCTCCGGGGCAACTATGATCACGGTATTCACGCAATCCGGGAGAGCAATGCCTTGCAGCAGCAGGCTTCAGCTAAAAATCGACGGTTGGCTCAGCAGATGGAACGTCGACCTGCAGTAATGGCTGCATTAAAGCTCAAAAAGGTAAGCTGACATAATTTTAATATTAATGGTAAGATAACATGATACCATGAGTAACTGAGATATATTTACTCTGATGAGGCATTTGTATGAATTTTTCTCTTTCTTATTTCTGTCCTCTTTATTGACTTGCTGTCAGTGCTATGAAAGAAGGTACTTCTTGAAAGTGGTATAACATGACGACATGCATCATGTGTAGTCCTTTAATGTGTTAAAGAATAAGGTAAAATTGGCAACTGATCATAAGCCCTTAAATCTCCTCAATATTTTGTAATTGCTTGTTGGTATCATTTTCTCTTGCTAAGCTAAAGCATTTGAAGTACTTTCTTCAAAAGATGTGTTCACATTGAAATTAAAAAATGTTGGTATTTCAGTGGAGTCTTCGGCAGCGATTGGGTCAGCCTGTTGTAAGCAATGTTAAGGAAAGACTTACTCTCCCTGCACAAGGTGGCAGTCACATACGTGGACGGGGACGTGGCCTTGGACGTGGATCATTACGTGGAAGAGGCGAGTGGAATCTTACACTATTCAAACCATAATCTTTTCATTAAGTTATATTTGTGGAATTGTGGCAGTAGTTGATCCATGGTGGGGGTTGTTACCCCCATGAAGAAAACAAATCAAAACGAAGTATTTGTAAGAAATTCCAAAAATGTGTCTTAGTAACATGTTTTATCCTTGAAAAATGTGCAATAGTCTGATTACTGCAGTCATAAAAAGATGTTTCGTTTTGTTAGTGATACATTTTACAAAAACTACACCACTTCAGATTTCAGTGAAGTTTAGTTTGAATAAGGAACTGAAAAAAGTTTCAGATGACATTTAATTTAATCCTGTAGCAATCATATCACACAGTTTATGACGTATGGAGATGTCATAAACTAGATGTAGTAAACAATTTAAAACATCCTAAAACATCACCAGGGTGTGTAACAAGTATGAAAAGCATGCCCATACTACGAGATTTTTACATACTACATACTTGCGTAGTAAAGAGAGTATTGTCAGCTGCAGCATAATTTTGTGCGAGTGTGTGAGAGAGAGGGGGGGGAGAGGGAATTATTGTGGGGCCCTATTGTAGAAAAGTGGGTAAATCATGTTCATACGATTAGTAAACTACTTTCACCAGCTTGTGTAGTCTGAATTGTAGGCCCTTGATACTGAAAAATTGGTGTTCCTCAAACTGTCTTTGCCTGTCAGTGTGTGGTCAATGCTAGCACCTATAGCATTTGGAGATATTTTCTTCAAAATTGATATTCCTAATTGAGCATGAAGCCCTGCCAATTTTAGATGGATAGTTTCACTTTTTTGGGTACTTTGCATGAAGCCATAACAATATTTTCTTAAAAATTGCTTCAAATTTTTGAACTGATTTTTACTAATAGTTAATTTAAACTTTTTTTATAAATTACAAATAGTGTGAGAAAATAACACCACGGCTTTCATATTACATATTCTTTAAATACAATAATATGTCCTAACTATTATCATATTTCACACCCACATTTTGAAAAAACAGCAACTATTTTTACTTGATGCCAATTAATATTTCATAATGAACATGCAATTCATCATGCCTTAAGTGAACAGCAAATGTGGCTGAAATAATGGTATCACAGAAACCAAAGAACACATCCAAAGATCTGAAATTAATGTCAGCCACATTCAATGTTAAGGTCAGCGATTCGTATCAATTATAGATTGAGGGATGTGAAAGTATGACTAACTGTTTAGGGAAAAATGGAAATTCAGATGTACTCCAGTTCAGCCATTTAGTTTTTTAACTCAAGTTTTCTGCCACAATTGGCTTGGAATAATTTCATGTCAGTTTGTGCAAAACATTCACCCCGAAGGGAAGAGATGTTAATAAATCAAATTCACAAGTCTTACATTTTAAATAACTAGTCTACACCAAGTGCAACATACATTTCAACATACTTCATTAATGCAACATACATTTTAAAACTATTTTTAATTATAGTTTTATTCATTAGTCTAAAAGCTCCTGTGGATTTACTCTGTTTGCTACCCTAGGTAGTAGATTGAAAAACCAGGAGTGTACTCATGATTTGTTTCTAAATTGATGTATTTACTGCTACTATTGTTAATTTTATTATATATTTCCAAAATTTTATTTCTTGCACAATTATTTCTTAATGCAACAGAAATTACATGATCATTTATCCATTATTTGTGTTTCATAGTATATAACTCATTCTATATGAAAGGGTTACGGAAAGAGCTACACGAATTTCATGCAGGGCAAAAGGGGGAATTACTGATAAATCCACTCTCCCTCCTCTCTGCTCTCCCTCGTCTCGTGTATGTATGTGTGTGTATATATATTGGAAATCAAAGGCAATATCATATCCAGCATCGGCAGACTCCAGATTTCATTTTGCGTTTAACTTAATTTCAGTTATTGTAGACAGGTTACACATTAAACACAATATGAACTTGTATGCGTTTGTAATTGTATTTAATTGTAAATATTTGTAATTGTGTGTATTTGGCTTGTTCAGGGAGGAGCATGTCGCTGAACCTTGGAGACGGCACTTCTACAAGGTTTCGAAGGGGTCAAGGACGTGCATTCCAATCATCCAGTCGTCGTCCATTTAAGAGAGGTAAATATGAAATTTGAGTTTTAATAAGGTCAGAAAAACTATTACAATTAAATATGATGCGTTTTTCTTGTTAGTTTCCACTTATTTGAGACAAACAAAATTTTTAACAACTCAAGAAAAATGTTTATTACTCTTGTAATATCTGTTTATTCACAATGTTTTGAAGACAGTTATGTCTTTATCATCAGGTAACATTTAACTGTGTTAATGAATGAATTGATACGAATGTTAATTTTGTCTGTACTATGTAAAATCGGTCTTAAGCCAGACACGATCTGGGCACAAAAATTCCGGTTTAGGAAGGTTTCCATTTTATTTTGATTATCAAAATACATTAACATAATGTATTTATGGAAGAATTTGCCAATACATGAATATTAAACACCCTATATTCACAGTTTCTGAGTTGAAAAATACACACCTTTCTGGCTGTATTTAGACAGCTTGCTGACTCTTTCAAAGCACAGTGCGTCACAACCCAGAGCATTTTGATACCCTCGCACGACCTTGAACAATGCATATCTTGTTGAGAGGTTATGATTTGCAATGTGGGGCAGGGAGACATGTGAATAGAACCCACAACTTTACACATTTCCACTCGGAGAGTCAGGAGAGAAGGAATTCCTCTACGGCTTACGCCTAAATGTATAGAAATTCAGTTTTATAAAGATTTTTTTCATGTGGGACATGAAAAACAGTTCCGTTTTATGCCGTGTAAAATGCCAATTAACTTCTCAGGCCGGAGAAGGCAGGTTCCTGGCATGTAAAGGTTTTGATTTAGACAGATTTCCTGTATTAACATTTTTATTTTTTATTTAATACTTGTTTGTGTAAATGGGAAGAAAAATAAAAGTAAGAAATTTTATATTTATAATTTAGTTTTTAGATGTTAAGAGATTTCAATCTTTTAGTTATGCGAGTTTCGAAATACAGAAGAACCCGGCTTTTATGTTCCTGCAATATACATTTTTGCTGCTTTACGTTTCTTTGCGATCCCATCAGTTTTTGTACATTCAGTCTTATAAATATCCCGCTTTTACATTATTCTCCCATCCTTTAACACCTTAAACATCATGTGGGATTCTCTGTTAGTTTTTGACTGGAAGTTCGTTCTGTGAACTGACATTCTATTATTTCTGAAATGTGTTTTTTATTGTTTCTGTAGTGGTGCTACAGGACGGAAATGACTTTCTAGTAATACATTTTTCTCATTTCGTTGGTCTGGGTCTATTCGTTGGCTCTAAGGTCTTGCGCCATTCCTTTTCCAACTGTCATCTTTTGCTGCCCAAAGTACCTTTTTTGGCATTTTCTCAATTTTTTGGTTTCCTAATGTTATAACTGAAATATAAATTTTAGAATATTGAAGAAGAGTAAAACCTTGTGCTATAGGGAATATTTCTTTAAAAAATTTCAAGCTGTTTACAAGAAAATGGCAGTAAAGCATTATTGTAAATGCGAAAATTTAAGCTCTGTTGCACAGAAAACTTTCGAGAAACTTCATTTGAAGTAATTTGAAGAACGTTCACACACTAATGCTATAATGAATACAAATCGTTGAACATGTTCATATTAACGACATGAGATATATTGAAACTTTTGAAAAAACAAAAGAATAAAGTAAATTAATTTTAGGTCATCTCATCACATCTCTCATCTTATAGTCATATCATGGGGCAAGAAAGAAACCTAATGACTATATATTTGCAGATGACCAACTTATAATAGCAAATGATGAATATAGCCTCCAGAAAGCACTGTTTGAATTACAAAAGATAACTGAAATGTACAATTTGTTCATATCCTCTACAAAAACAAAAGTCATGGCTTTTGAAAGGATGGAACCGATTAGATTCAAATTAGTTGTATGTAATTCACTTATAGAGCAAGTTTCAATTTCTTGGTATACAAAATCTCATACCGAGGGGAAATACATATACAAAAATTGAAAGACTAAATTGTATGAACGGACAATTCTTAGAACCCTGCAAATGAAAGTTAGAAAGGACCCTATGATTAAAGTCTAAAAGGTATTAAGTATCCCAACATGTTGAAACTGCAATTGTGACATGTCATAAGTCTTATTTTGGCTTTTAAACCCTTTTGACTTTTACTGTTAATATTTTATATTTTGGTATAAATTTCAAAAATGCAATCAAAAACTTTTTGAGTCACATTTTCATACTGTATTTCCTAGATAATATATGCTTGCATATTTCTAACATTTTTAGTTCATAAAAATCTGGGACCTATTCATAAGTGTTGCAGGGGCAGATTAAGCTTGATGTAGGCTCTAGGCCCAATTTTTTTGTAGGCCTCAGAAAAATTATAGGACAGTTTTAAACTGTAATTATTAGACATTTTTTGGTATTACAAAAAACTAATTTAGAAAATTGCATTAGCACAATTGATTTTTAATTTTTTTCACACTCTTTCACAAACTTACGTTTGTAATGTAATGTTGTTTATATTGTAGTTATTTTTATATATTCTGACGAAAATTCCCGCCTAGCCATTCCTAGGCACCTGTTGGGAATTTGCAGATATAATGCCCTTGTGAGCTTTGCGATAACTCAGCAGTGGGATCTTTTTGAGTGGTGAGATGAAATCCAAACAAGTACACAGAAATCAATTGAACCAGAACACACAATCAGAAAGAAGAAGAGAGAAAAAAAAAAAAACAGAACAAAATGGTATCTCTCTTTTTTAGAATGCATGAAATCTTCATTCACTTCTTTACGCATACTTTAATACCTGGGAATTCCCGTCGTCGAGCTTACTCATGAAATTTACTTAAATTTCTACTTAATTTGCCCAATGACACTGGGTTTTAGATTTTCAACTTTTAATCCAAAGCAAATTTAACGTAAGAATGTGAACAAAGACGTAACATTCAAACAATTTTTCTGTGAACAACATAATTAAATACAAACTTCATTACAGTTTTGCTGATAACTGGCTTAAAATGGCAGGAATCTTTGGTTTTTACTGGTTCCTTTTCTTTTCTTTTCTTGTCGTGTCGTTCACGCACGCGTGCGAATGTCCCTTGCACGTCGCAAATGATTAAATAATGCGCAATTCGGGCGTACCCGTAACTCTCGATAGCACAGTTCTACTTAACGCCTCTTGATTGTGACTGCTTCTTCACTACACAAATTACTGTCCCTTCTTTACCGCCCACCAAATCGCTTTGGGCTATTTAATCTGAATTAATTACTCCCTTCCTTATCTGAGGAAAAACTGTCCTCCGGCTATTTTCTAATGAATACGTTCGTGAATCACTACACTATACGTCTCTTTGACGTCCAGAAACTCCTAAATCTCTCGCTGAATATGTCGATGTTGCCGCTCGAACGGCGAGCGGGACCAGGAGGAGGAATGTTCAGCGATTTATGAGACACCCCCCCCCCCCGTAGGGGTTTAGCGCGATATATCC